CTTGGATAAATTTTTTGTAGCAATTTCTGCAAACCCACCGCTTTGCTTAGGCCACCAAAGAGGAATTTCTCCACCAAAAGGGATTTCTCACTGCTGCCAGCATCCCCCAGCAAACCCAAACCTCCTGTAAAACCCAAGAGTGTCACAGGGCTGTGTCCCTTCTCCCAGCATCTCTGCTGGGAAGAGCTGCAGCACCAGGCAAAGGCCTCAGCACGGAGCAAACCAGAAGGATCCCAGCCCTTCGACTGGCATCTGCCTGTGGTGCCCTGCATTTATTTAGGGCAAGCTGGGCCCGGTGGGTGCTGTCTGAGGCAGCTATCTGGTCAAAGGCCTGCGGGGAGCTGGCAGATAGGGCAGGTTAACGTTTAACCCGCGGGACTGTAAAGCAGCCGGGGCTGCTGAACCTTTGGAGTTTGATATGATGATTAGGGAATAACCGCAGTGACACGTCGCAAACTGCCCACAAGCAAGGAGCCCTCTTTCCTGGGGGGCTATCCCTGAAATTGCTCAGGTAGGAGGCTGCTGGTGGCTCGGAGGTTTGGGGGGTGTGGGATGGGGTGTGGGAATCGGGGCTGGTGGTGGGGTTGGGAAGGAGCAGCTCCATTGGGAGCCTCCCACTCCAGCAGTGCCCCAGCATCAGGCTCACAGCCCGGAGCTGCCCCGCTCCAGCAGGGCTGGGCTGGGGAGCTGGGGCTCCCTGGCTGGCCCCACAGCGCTGGTGTTGAGCTTGGGATGGGCAGGGTGAGCACAGAAGGGCTCCTCCGTGCAGTTTCTACCTGGCAAAGCCATGGAAAGAGGGGGCTTTCTGCTTTTCCTCCTTGCCTGAAAAGTGAGGCCAGACAAGACGGAGGGGGAGGAGGGATTTTCCCTGCCATAATTCGCTCTGGATTTGTTAAAGCGCAACTTTGTGAGGCTTAATCATTAGAGATTTTTCCAGCCGACTTGGTGTCCCTCCTTCTCTTTGCCCGAGATCAGTCTCGCCGGTGAAGGCAATAGCTGCTCCTAAACCCCCTCAGTTTCCCCTAATCCCTTCCAACCAGCAGGGACAGTTTCTGCTCAGCACAGAATGCTCCTCCCAAGCTCTTTCCCTCGGTGGAACAGGAGTTTTGGGAGGGAGCAGGCAGGGAAGGAAGGATGGTTTCAAAGCGTCCGGCACATGAGGATGCAAATTAAACACTAGGGAAGGAGGCTGGGCTCAGCATCACAGAGTGACTTTTTGGGGGTACTTTGTGTGCATTTGGTGACAGAGCTGAAAAAGCCGTGGCCAAGAGGAAAGAGATTCCAAAGGGAGAAGCTGATTCCCAAGCAAAAGAGGCCGAGCAAAAAAAAATTGCCGGATTAGCCATGAAATGTTTTCTCCAGGCTCATGTGCTGCAGGTTGTTCATGCAGCTCCGGGTTTGCCCTGTTTGCCTGCAAATGTCTGTGAATTCCCACTTTGTGTGGAGCCACTGGAGCTGGAAAACAACCCCCCCAACCCTGGGAAGCCAAGGGACGAGAGCCTCGTGCTGCGTTGCTCAATCGGACTCCGTCCCTCAGTGTGTCAACCCAGCGAGGAACTGGGGCAGCTCACAGGGCTGCACAAGTTTTGGGGAAGAAAATGAAGCATGCTTGGTGTTTACGGATGTATAGAAAGGAATATATATTGCTTGGAGTCTGGAGGGAGGGAATAAATCCCCAAAACGTTGATAACCTAGAGGAAAATGGGTTTGGATTTTTAGGGGAAAAAGTGAATATCATTACCCAGTTTTTCCAAAGGTTGTTATTCTTCAGGAGGAGCAGTTGCACTGAGGGGACACCAAACAAAATGGCCTTAATTAGATGTGTCCAAGTGGCTCTGCACAGTCAGGTCTCTATTGATCCTGTGGGATAAACATGGGTTTGTTATCTCCTTTATGGAACTGGGAACCAGCTCTCCCCAAAAAGGCTGCACAGGGGCAGGCTCTGCCCTCAAATCCCTCCTCAGCAAAAATCCTAGCGTGGGAGACATCCCTTGGCGGAGGAAAGAGACTCCTCCTTTTCCAAATAACCCAAGAGTGAAGCAAAATTTTCTGCAGTTTTTGGGGGTAAAAGCTTCTGGGTTCATCTTGTTCCTGGATGGATGGAGCAAAGCCAGAGGATGTGCTGTAGTAGGTGTGAGGGAGCCATGTTAGTCATGGAGAGGTGGTATCATAACAGGTTTGTTTCTTGATGTGGGCTTGCAAGGTATAAAAGGACCTTTTCTTGCCTTGGCACTTCAGAATTTCAGCAGAAACCTAAAATAAATGAGAGTGGAGAGAATAAAACCAGACCCAGTGATATTCTGATATAAGGTAAAAGCAGAACCTTCCTTTTCTTGACCATGATAAGTTGGTGCTATTGTCAAAATTTCATCAAAAAGAGTATGAAATAGGAAATATGGATAATTTGCACTTGCAAAGCTATTAATTTCAATTTAAACTTCTGAACAAAATGCAACTTCCCCCTCTCCTTTTTTCCCTTTTCTTTTTCGAGTGGTGGCCCTTGTTAATGATAATCCATTTCAAGGGCAAATCCCCAAAATTGGTTGACTTTCAGAACTATTATTTCTATTAAGTGTGGCTGGGTTGATTCTTTTTAAAGCAGTGCTGAAAGCACTGCCTGAACTTGCTGCAGTCATTCACATTTTCCATCAGCAGCCACGGAAGGGGGGTTTTCCCCTGTGAGGGTGGGTGGATTTGCTAATTGATTGCTGGCTCGGGGAACAAAGAAGGAGAGAAAGTAATCGTGTTTCCTCTGAGTGACAGGAATTCTCCTCCCTTAAGGTAAAAAAAAAAATCCCAGCACACTGACACTGCTGCAAGGGCTGGGGCTGGTGCCTGCAATACAGGGAAAGGGCTGGAATTCTACAAGTTTCAGAAATTAAATATCCCTCCGTGATAAATATCCTGGAAATGGTCTGGATGCACTGATGGACACATGGGTATGGCACCTGGGGACGTGGTTTGGTGGTGGGTTGATGGTTGGACTCGATAATCTGAGAGGGCTTTTCCAGCTTAAGTGATTCTGTGATTCCATGAGATGGACCCTTGGATGGTAGAGGTGGAAAAGTGCCCTGTCCAAAAAAAAAGCATTTAGATGTCCTTGGCTCAAGGGAGGCAGGAAGGAAGGAGGGAGAGAAGTGGTTGGAAAACTGCAGGGTGGAAACTCTTTTCTTAGGCTTGGGATTTGCTGTGCTGGGATTTGTACCTCAGAGAAAAGAGAGGTTGCTGTTTCCATCCAGAGAAACCCCACAGATGGGGGAAAGCTCTTTAGCTCATAAATCACCTGTGAATGACATTGGGCTGGTAATCAGCAGGTGTGAATTGAGTGCTCACAGTTGGGTGATGCACTGAGCTGCCCACGAGTGTGTTCAACCCTGAGTGGGCAGTCCAGTCCTGGCCAATTCCTCCTTTGGAATTGGGAATGAGGCCTTGCAGATTCCTTTGGGATCAGGAATGGGCACTTGCAGGGGCTGGGGGTCTCCAGCTGGACCCCACTTCTAGCAGGACCAGCTCCACAGCCCCAGGTGAGGCAGGGCATCCCTGAGGATGGACATCCTGCACCTCTTCCATGGGGCAGGGTTGTTTCCGTGGGTCAGGCTGGGCTTTCTCCAAAGGCAGGAATGTGTGGAAGCACCAGACACAGATTAAAGCCAGATCTTTGTTACCAACACCCCGGGCTCTGCAGCAGGCTGTGATTAAAACTTCATTGCAACCTTGAATGCTCTTGCTCCCTAATTCCGAGTGGATTGCTTCAGCATATCCTGGAGTGCACCAGTGTCTAGACATGCTGGTCTAGAGCCTGAAATCTTTGCAGAATGCCTTACGAGAAGAGCCCAGAAGAGCTCGGCTGTCTTATCTAATAAGGCAGAAGGCAGAGAGGGTATTGCTGCCGCTGGAAAGGCATCAGCCAGAGAATGCTCTGTTCCCATCCATCCAGCCCCGAGGCTTGTGCTCACTGCTCAGCGTGAAATCATCCCCGGGAGGGAGAGAGAGACCTTCCTGGAAATCCCTCCTCCCTGCAGGAGAGGATGCGTGGCCTTAAAGGATCCACGTGCAAGTGCACCCAGAGCAGCAGCCCTGCAAGCATCCAGCCTGGCAGCACTCAAGTCCACCTCTAAGGGCTAAGAGAGACCCGTCCACCCACCCACTAATCCACCGAGAACTGCAATTTGATCCCTCAATTCCCTGATGAAACCAGGATGCTCCAAAAGCAGAATATAAGGGGCCAGATTTGCAGTGTGGCAGTTTTCCCCTATTTTCCCCTATAGGGTGGGTATGGGGTGTCTCTGCCCAGGCAGGGGAGGCTGCAAAACCTATCTGAATTTTAACTGGGTTTTTTTTCTTTCTTTCTTTCTTTCTTTCTTTCTTTCTTTTTTTTTTTTTGAACGCTCACTTTCTCTTTCTGCAGCAGCCTGGGAAAGGCTCCAAGTGGTTTTTGCACAGCAGTGTGCTAATCCTGCCCCGTGCCTGCTGAACGCCAGCTCCGGAGGAGGCAGCAGGCACAGACACCACAAATATCGACAGGGTTTTGTTTCTGCCCTCAGAAGGGCAAAACAAACCAGTAACTGCTGCAGAAAACACTCATTTGGGAATTAGAGACAGGAGAGAGCTGTTTCACTGGATAATCCATGTCCCAGCCCCTGCAAGTTGGTAGTAATTAAAACACTGGAGAACCTGGGAGCACGGGGAAAAAATAAAATAAAATCAGAAGAGCCTCACCGACCTCTGCATTAAATAACTACTTGCAAGTGTTTGAGTCACAGTCTCTGGATCTCGGTGTGGCAGAGCCCAAGTGACACGAGACTGAGATCCTCCAAACACCTGGGCTCGTGCCCCATTTTTGGTGCTGGGAATAATCCAATTTAAATTGAAAGCAGTTGTTTTAGACTTCCAGGGCACAAAGGCATAGGAGCACAGGGCAGGTGATGGCCAAAGACAAAGTAGGCAGCCCCAAGCCTTGGCTCCTCCCTCAGTGAACCACAAAAACAGCTGATAAAAAGGAGAAAGCGGGGTCCTGGAAAAAGGCCTTTTCTGTTATTCCTGCAGAATCATGACATGCTCAGAAAATCGGCTGTAACCAGATAGATTGCACTTCTTTACCTGCACTTCTTTACCTGCACTTCTTTACGTGCAATGCTCACCTTATGTGCACCAAGGGACTGCAGTACAAGGGGATGGTTTAGGGTCTCCTCCCGAAAATCTGGCAGTAGCTCAGGGTGCAGGCACAGCACTACACCTTCCTTCCACCTTCCTACTGCTCTGGATTTCCCTTCTGCCCAGCATCCCCACCACCATCCCACCCCAGGGTGCCTCATCCCCATCACCATTCCCTCCCAGCCCCTTTTGGCCCTGTTTGCTCTCCAGCCAAGCCTGGGAGGCACCACCTTTCCTTATCTCCACCTTTCTACGATAAAATGAAGTTTTAAGCAATAACAATCATGTTAGAATGACACAATTTAGCATTTTCCTGCATGGAGTCCTTGGTCCCACTGGCCCCCAGCTCTGGCTACAAGGACCTGAGGAGGGAACTGGGTTTGCTCTGGCTGCTGTTCAGCAACAGCCTGAGGCTTCAAGCTCAGCCTTGCACCTACAGACCCTGTTTTTATGCCTGGAGCACATAAATGGATTCTGGACAAGCTCAAAGCTCAGCATTCAGTGAAAACAGGGAATCACCAGCACTGAATGCATGTTGTAAATGTCCCTTTCCCAGGGTGTAGCCCAAGTAAGATTCAGATTTCAGTTTTATGATGTTTTCAGCCCAAACCAAAACAAAAAATCCTGAATCAGCCATGACCAAAAATTGCAGCTCTGAATCAAAATGTCTGAACCCAAGGTTGTTCCAGCCCCGAGCTAAGATCTGAAGTTCTTTAATTTCAAAAATAAGTGTAGGCCAAATTTGGAGCTAGGTCCTGTTTCTCACAGAGTACTGGACATGGCTGGTACAAGGTTGCCTTCCCAGTGTCAGCATCACACTTGGCCTGAAGGACTCATTGTTGTGTACTCTGTGCAGAATTAGGCACTTACATATTTTTTCCTCCTGAGACACCACCAAAAGGCTACAAATTCGCTCTGCATCTCCCCAGGATCTGACTGTGGGTTTAAATGCTATTTATTTCCATTCAGCAAGGAGGATATTTCTGCTTTTTTCCATGGTCTCTGCTGTTCTGTTTTGGTTTTATCTCCAAAATAACTGATTTAGCAAGAGTGACCCCTGTAAACTTTCTCAAGAGGGTGGACTTTCTCCTCCCAGCTGTATTAATTGATTTAATTTATCTTAAATTTGATTGCAGTGAGCACCCCTAATTAACCTGATTTTTTGCTGATAATCACTCCCAATGGAATCAAATCACAAATCCGGGGATGGATTGACCGGCACACAGAAAGAAGCCGCCCTCCGTGCGTTAATTCAGCGAACGGGATATAATTTGATCCAGGTAGGAATTCACAGTCACATCCTTTTGTAGCGTCCAGCTTCATCCTGAAGCTTCACTGGGGGCGTGAGCAGCGAATCCATGCTCCTGAATCACTCCTTGCTCGTCCCTTTTTGCTCTGTTTTCTCTCTCACATCCCTGCTGACCATCACTACGTTGTCCTTCCCAAAGCAGGAGCTTGCTCCTCAAGGAATTCCTTGCTTGATGGGAAATTACAATAAAGGTGGGGGAAAGACAGCCCTGAGCACTGCTAGATGTTGGGAAAGGTCGGGATTGATGCCTCAAAACCAAAGAAAACCCCACAGAGCGAAGTTTCAGAAGAGGGATGAGGTGGGGAGTCCAGCACGTCACCTTTTGTGCAGATCCTTGCACAGGTACATGGGAAGCAGGTGCCTCACCTGCTCCAAGGTTTGCTTCCAGTTTAGGCTTCAAGGTCTCCAAGATCCAAACCTCCCCTGGTTAGGGCAGGTGGAGCCTGGCCATGGCCTTCAAACCCACCTGAGAAAGCTTTTCTTGGCTACCACGACCAAAACAAGCTCAGCCTTGGAAAGCACTGGGCACAGCCACGACCGGCCTTGCATCCTGGGAAAAGGAACTGGTAACACTGGATTTTAGGCAGGTGGAGACCTTGAACTTTGCCTTGTTTTGCATGGCACTAGAGGCCAAAACAGCCCCAAGCACAACCTGAGATTCACATTCCAGGACCAGGCCAGGAGGTGCGTTTGGTGCCCTTGAGGAGCCTTTCTGCTCTACCTGACCCATAAGATAAGGGGCTTCTGTATCTCTTAGATTTACTGTGGCTTTCTTACTATCATAGGAGTTGGGAGGTTCCTTAAACCCCATTTCGTTCCAGCCCCATGCCAGGGGCAGGGACACCTTCCACTGGCCCAGGCTAATCCAAGCCCTGTCCAATTGTGGCCTTGGAATTATCCTGGTGTTCAGTTTTCCTGCTGTCACATCTGGCAAAGATCACTCCTAAAGCACAGATTTCAGCTCCCAATCCCCCACACACTTCAACATCTTCTTGCTCTTCTCTCTCCTTTCACTGTCCATTCCAACCTTGCTATTTTATCCTTTTCTCTTTTCTCCCCCCTCTCCTAATTTCCCTGTACCTTAGGGATTTTTCTTCCAGCCTGCCTGTGGGTGCAGCCAAACATCTTCTTCCTGAGTGCACACCTGGGTCATTCATCTTTGGCAAGTGGCTGATGTCCTCTTTCCTTCCAGGCACCTTATCAAGAAGGGTTTGTTGAGGTGCTGCCTTCCAGCCACAAACAAAGCCACTGCAAATTGAGGAAAGGGTTTATTTCTTGCTGTGCCCCCCTCACACACCAGCTCAGACATAAAATCAAATGTCCCCGGGACTCCATCACTGCTGAAAACATTGGAAAAACAGGAATGAGAATGGACAATTCAGGGCCTGTTCTAGGCTTGAGAAAATAAAAAGGGTTTGTGGTATCTTTCTGTTTTCTTGTAAGGAAATTTCTCTGTTTGTTTATGTTCCTCTTAAATCAGCTGTACAAGGCATTCGCTTTCCTGGAATAATCCCAGAATGGGAAGTGACTTTAAAAAAAGGTCAGGCAGCCAAAAATGGAAAAATTACTGGAG